AGCTCGCCTGGCATGCGTGCAGCCCGAGTTCCATCCTCAGTACCACAAACAAACAAAGATGTTATGTCCGCCAAAAACTAAAAAAATAGATATTAAAATCTCTCTCTCTCTCTCTCTCTCTCTCTCAAAAAAAAAATAATGATGTCATAACATCCTGACATTTTTTTATTCAGATTTCATTAATTTGAACTGTTCAATGAAAAGGAAATGACCAGTTAGTGGAAGACTGGCACTTTCTATATCATCACAACTTAACTCTTCGGCATTTACAATACAATTTGGGTGAATCAGAAACAAAATAACAAACATTACAACACAAAACACATTCAGGCTCACACATCAGTACCTCTTAAGGAGAGTGAATCTTGATATATAAGTTTTTTTTTTTTTTGTCTTTCAAACAGCTTTTTATGTTTTAGATTAGAATTTGCAAAGAAAACTATGAGGAATAGCTCCAGAGTACTAAGTGAGAAACACTTGGCATTTTCTTAAATAATATAGTAAGGTGACTGCAGTAGGATAGTTACACGGAGAGAACAAATTAAGCCTTTCAGTTGCCATGAACTGAGGTACTACAATAAAGGTCCAGGGTGATTTGGTGGATGACACACAGGAGATATTCAAAGCTAGAATTTTCAGTGTTCCTGTGATGTATTCACTTCTTCTAGATCCTTGAGTTAGGATTTTACCCTACTGACCTCACAAAGACATAAGAGTGCTGGTACTTTTTAATTATTTTTGTTTGTGGATAGCTGGGAGAGAATAGTTCAGTTCTAAAAAAAACTAGACAAACAAAGTTTCATTCAATTTTACAGTAAAATGACTAAAGGGCTGTGTTTTATACAGTGAAGGGGTCATCCTGTGCCAAGAATTCATGGAACTCATAGAAAAGATTTTGTTTCCTATTGCTTGCAGTTCTGATAACTAGTCTGATATCAAATAAATCCAATTATAATAGGGAATAGGAAACCTCAGTTGCCATTTTTGTTTGTTTGTTTTGTTTTGTTTTGTTTTCAGGTACCAGGAATTGAACTCAGGGGTACCTGGCCACTGAGCCATATCCCCAGCCCTATTTTGTATTTTATTTATAGGCAGGGTCTCACTGAGTTGTTCAACACCTTGCCTTTGCTGAGGCTGACTTTAAGCTGGTGATCCTCCTGTCTCAGCCTCCAGGGCAGCTGGGATTACAAGCATACGCCACCATGCCCATGCCTGGCTCACTTGCTTTATTTATATTCTGTTTGTAAGGGGTTATTGGATTATGTTAACCTTACGAAGCCCTATTTATCGCTAAACTCCATTTATTTAGCTTTAATTGTACACTGTTTGGGATTTTAGTTTATTGCTTTGAATACTCATTTAATGAGGACTGAATTCTTTGCATTTACATGTGCTTTTATCTTACCTGAAGAAATATTTATTAATTTCAAAAGAAAAGTATCTATTTCATAAAGCACTCTAACTTTATATAATGCCTATCTCTGGGACTTGTCAAAGTTGTAGCATTAAACCAATAGTTGTTGCCTTTTTTTTTTAAAGAGAGAGAGAGAGATGAGATGAGAGAGTGAATTTTAATATTTATTTTTTAGTTTTCGGTAGACACAACATCTTTGTACATGGTGCTGAGGATCGAACCCAGGACACACGCATGCCAGGCAAGCGCGCTACTGCTTGAGCCACATCCCCAGCCCAATAGTTGTTGCCTTTATACATCTCTATATGAAGCTTGAATCATTGTTAATGGGTCAAATGAATTTAATTCCCACAAGGGATCCAATTATTCTGTTTTTCTGACTGTGTCACATGTCACACAGATTTGTACTTAAGAACAAAACGATTGCCAATAATAGGGTAAGAAAAAGAAAATCAGGGATGGGGTTGTGACTTAGTAGGAGAACACTTGCCTCACATGTATGAGGCACTGGGTTTGATTCTCAGCACCACATATAAATAAATGAATAAAATAAGGGTCCATAAACAAATAAAAATATCTTTTTAAAAAGAAAATCAGTATTCTAATAATCTGTAGAAATTTCAAGAACAAGTATAAATTTTTGATTATATTAATTTTATCCAAATTTTTTAATATTTCTTATTTTAGTTCTCGGGGGACACAACTTCTTTGTACATGATGCTGAGGATCGAACACGGGCCACACGCATGCCAGGCGAGCGCGCTACCGCTTAAGCCACATCCCAGCCCAATTTTATCCAAATTTTGATGTATCCTTGGAAGATATCAGCCCATCATCTGTTGAATTTCACTGTCTCATCTCTTCTCACCACAGGCTAATGTGAAGATCAAGTCAGAAAACACAAAAGTGGTTGGTGTGATGCCACATTCCCTGGACTCCAAAAGTGTTAATTGCTGTAATTGGGTAATAAATGTCATTTTTATGAATCAATCATAAGCACAATAAGTTGCTATTTTACTCACACTTCTATTTGGAACACTTTGGTATATAACAGCCCTCATTTTAAACAGTTCAAAGCACATTGAAGTTTTAAGCAATTAAATGTTAATTTTATGAAACAAATATCTAAACAAATGGCATTATTTGCTCAAAATAAAGTTATTAATTATTTGGACTTTAAATCTGAGAGAACTATCCATACCCTTATGAGCTTTAAAATACTGAAATATTATTTAATCTCATTATAAATTGATTTTCCATAAAGAGACAAAATACATCATATGCTTCATAGCTCCCTGTGAAGGTTGAGTGGGATACTATATAGAAAATACATAGTCCATGGTCCTAAGTGTGGACTCAAAATTATAGCTGTTATTATGGTTTTGTCAAAGTATTAGTAATGACAAACATAATGAATTCCTTATTTCAAACCAACAGGAAAATATCACATAGAAATGTGAATATTATAGCTAACACTGTATTTAAACCTTCTAACATAAAAATCAAGAACCCACTGTCTAAAACCTTGGAAGATGAAGATTTGAAGGTTTTCTGCTAGTTGGATGTCTTACCACTAACATCTCTAACAAAGGAAAAAAAAAAACATTTAATATTTGCTGAATGCTTCTCTAAGGGTAGTAAAATTAATTAGAGAGATGTGCAGGATGCTGATTCATTTGATTATACTTTACTACATAATGTGCAAAATTTCCCTGCCAGGTCTGTTGCCTAAAGGAGTTTTGGTTGATTCATCGTCTCTTTTGCTCAGAGGGTTGATCACTGTAAATGACTTTATTGACCCGTGGCTTGGTTCAGCATCATATGCTCCAGTGAAGCAAACAATAAACAGCTGCTAAGTGCAGGTGAGAAGGCGTCATGGAAAATTCAAGGACTGAATCAGCGTACTCTTTGCCATCAGGCTCCACGCTGTCACACATTTCTGAATTTCTTGCTTGACAGGCATCATTTTTAAAGGGACTTGCCCTAAAACAACATATCATCCTATGGGCTTTCATGACTTTTAGATAGTCAGAGTGGGAATTCTGTATTCATAACCCTTTCTATAAATAGCTGATATCCATAGCCATGTAATTCATTTTTAATGGTTCATTGTTTCAATTGGAATCTTGAGCCAAATAAAACTTTGATAAGTAAGATGTGATTTTAAGGATCAAAATAATGTTTAGAACTGTTGACTTTAATACTGCCAAAAAAAGCAAATATGTCCTCAAAGCCATAGGTTAATCAATAGCAGTTAGATTTAGAGTAATTTCAGCATCACCAGCTCATTCCAGCACCAAATATCCTGGTCAGATAACCCCAATTAAAAATACACTGATTGTGTAGTGTATTTTCCGCTGCTATCAAAGAATATCAGAGAGTGGGTAAATTATAAATAACAAACTTTATTCAGCTCACAGTTCTGGATGCTGGAATGTCCAAGACCCAGGAAATATATCTGGCAAAGGCCTTTTTTATGTTTTATCCTATGACAGAGGAGCAGCAAAAACATGCAAGTCTAAGACAGGGACCTAGGCTGAATTCATACTTTTTATCAGGACAGCATTTCTTCAATAACCAACACTCTTTAATAGCAGCATCTATACATGTAAGCACAATGCTCAGGTTCAAATCACCTCTTCAAAGCACCACCTCTTAATGTTGTTACAATGGGAATTAAATTTCAGCTTGAGCTTTGGAGGAAACATTCAAACCACAGAGGAGCAAGAATTCAGGACAACTCTTCTATTTATAACTGACTTTTTTTTTCTATTCTCCTCCATTAGTATAAGTTCAGGGTATATTAAATATTAAGTTTTCTTGTTAAAGATACATGTTTGTCAAAGTTATCTTTAAAAACTTCATAAATGACTTGCAATATCAAGAAAATGAAAAGATAAGTCCCACTTTGGGAAACTGAATTTGCAAAAGACATATATGAAGACATCTTGAAAACTCAACAAGACAGCAAAACACCTGACTACAAAATGAGTCAAAAATCTAAGCAGACACTTCACCAAAGAAGAATATTTATCATTACGGAAATGCAAATTAAAACTGTAAGACTCTACTATGCCTGTATTAGAATATTAAAAATCCAGAACATTGACAATAATAGATGCAGATAAGTTCATGGTGTAACCAGAATTCTATTTTTTTTGGGGGGGGGTGGGCGGGATGTAAGATGGTGTAGTACAGCTAGTTTGGGAGGCAAATCATCAATTTATCATGAAACAAAACATATTTGTACCACTTAATTCATCAATCACATTTCTTGGTATGTAACAAAATGAATTGAGAACATACATCAGTAAAAACTCAACTCAACACATTGATTTTTATAGCAGCTTTGTTCATAAAGGCCATTTTTTAAAGCAAGCAAAGTATCCTTCCTTAAGTGAATGGATGAATAAACTCTGTTGTAAAAGGACTGCAAAATAATTTTAAATACTAAAAGGAAAATAAGCTATAAGGTCACCCAAAAATGTGATGATATCTTCATTGCCTATTACCAACTGAAAAAAAGCCAATCTTAAAAGGCCACATTCTGAATGATTCCAATTATAAAACATACTTTAAAAGACAGATCTGCTTGTACAGTGAAAAGATTAGTGGTTGCTAGGAGTTACAGGGAAAGAGGAAAACATAACAAATATGTAGAGCAGGGAATTCTCAGGGCAGTTAATGATTCTATATGATTGTACAATAGTGAATATATATAATCATATCTTTGTCAAAACCTGTAGTACAACCTCAACCTTTGTAGAACCCCAAGAATGAACCCTAAAAATTAAGTCAAATCAAAAGAAAAAAGATTGAAGTGTAGTAAAAGAAGATTTCCTTAATTGTAATTAGTTCAGGCTCCTGATTCAACAAAAGAAATATATGACACTGACTTAATATATATTGTCTCATCTTCATTACTAATTCACTACAGTTTCCAAAAGAATTTCATGGTTTTCTCAAAACAAACTAACATACATCTGATATTTTGTATTTGAAAGTATTAATTTTATGATAATAATTATAACTACACTATAAATTTTTGACTCAAATCATCTATTATGAAAAAGGAACATGCACTTATTTTTTATTTAGATATGTAATATTCAAGGGTTTTCTGGTATAAATTCAGAGAAGTTTAATTATAAAATTCATAAACATAGTACAATGAAAACTGAAGAAAATAGTTGACCTACTTTGGACATTAACAAAACCGAAGGGTAAAGGAATTCAGTTGGAATCGTATTTTTTTAATCCAAATAGTTAATATATGTAATAAAATCTGGAAAGAAGGAGTAGAAATTAGTATTAAGAGTCTAAAATAATTTATTTCTTTACACAAAGAGATTAAGATGTTTCTTTTCAGTAATACTTGGGGGATATTCCTAGAATCAGAATGTCTAATATTTGAGGAAACACTTAAGCATAGTCCATGTAGTCATGATTTTAAACAGAAGGTGGCATAGGGTTAATGATTAACATTTTAGCAACATAACACATAGAATCATCATGTCACTAAAAATTAAGTTGTCTGAATACTGTGTATTTAAAAAGTGCTTCTGGGCTGGGGATGTGGCTCAAGTGGTAGCGCGCTCTCCTGGCATGCGTGTGGTCCGGGTTCAATCCTCAGCACCACATACAAACAAAGATGTTGTGTCCACCGAAAACTAAAAAGTTAATACTGAAAAATTCTCTCTCTCTCTCTCTCTCTCTCTCTCTCTCTCTCTCTCTCACTCTTTCTTAAAAAAAAAGTGCTTCACCTACACTTAGCATTATGTAGTAGATATTATTTAACAGAATTAAATAAATAGAATGTTATGCACAGATATAAACTATAATACTTATACAAATATTATAATTACAATTTTGGAATTACTCTGCACTCTTAACAGCAATATTTATTATTTTAAAAACAAATTGTACATGTATCCTTTATTTCTATACTTATCATAATAACATAGAACAAAAAAATAATTAAATATATATATTTTTTAATTTAAATGATCAACAAGGTATGGTTGTACACATTTGTAATCCAAGTTATTTTGGAAAGTGAGGCAGGAGGATCACTAGTGTGAGGCCAACCCTGGAAATGGAAATTCTGTCTCAAAACTATATAAATAAGTAGCTGGTCATGGTAGTGAATGCTGTAATTCCAGCCAATCTAGAAGCTAAGGCAGGAAAATTGCAAATTCAAAGCCCACCCAGCAATTTAGTGAGGCTGTAAGAAATTTAGGGTGACCCCGTCTCAAAAAAAAAAAAAAGACTTTGAATGTGACTCACTAGCTTAGTACCACTGGGTTCCATTCCTGTTACCCAATATAAATTAATAAATAATTTTATAAACAAATTAATTAAAATTTATGCACACACAAATAAATACATACATGGTTGGGATTTAGCTTAGTGGTAATATATCCCTGAGATCAATTCCCAATATAAAAATAAATTAACTAATTAAAAATTAAAAGATCTACTAGTGTGACTTACCAAGAGTAATAAAATTAGGTTTAACTCATTAAAAAACTACCTTTTTTTAGTGCTTCTGCATTTTGAATAGGCCTTGAAATAACCTGAGAATATTATTAAAATATACTTATTAATTCAGTAGCCCCTTGTATTTCCCACCCTTTCTAATAAGCTTCTAGTTTGTGTGAATTCTGCTTGTTGGTTTGTCATACTTTGAATATAAAGAGCTTTAGCATAGCTCCCTAATTACTGAGATACAGATAATTTTTTCTGCAACATATGGAAAAACTAATCATGAAAGTGACAGAGATCCAACTTATACTGAGTTGATCATTCATCTAGGAATTGTTATAATGGGAGAAAAATGCACAATCATTTTTTAATCAACTAATAACTTTTTATTTTTCAATTACTTTAAAATTAAGAAATAGGGGATGGTGCCGAATGTACAAGCATACACCTGCAATCTCAGCATCTCCAGAGGCTAAAACAGGAGAATCATAAACTTAAGGCCAGCCTCTGCAATTTAGTGAGACCCTGTCTCAAAAAAAGGCGGGGGGGATGGATGTTTATCAGTGATGCAGCACTCCTGGGTTCAATCTCTAGTACCAAAAAACAAAACAAAACCCAGAAATAAGCAACAGGTAGAGTGGGTAAACGTATATTAGGGTCAACAGGAAGTATAGTCTCATGTAAAATTTGTCATAGTTCATATAAAAGTGTCCTCTAAATACATTAACAGTCTGAAACTTAAAAATTTTGATATTTGTACATTAATATGTGCTACACAAACACCTGGCCTTGTTTGATGATCATTTTGAAGTTCATTTCAGTCTTAGTAGAATAGCTATAGTCTTTGGTACATTTTAAAAATATAATTGGGGTTAAAATATCCCTTTAATATCCATCCATTTAATTATTGATAATGTGTCCACTTGTTTTATTTTAATAAATAAGTACATAAAATTTAAAAGAGAATCTACTTAAGTATTAGAGAAATACTTTGTAATTAATGTTCATTGAGTTTGAAAATAATCTTTTACTGCTGAGGTTCAAGTAAACATTGAGGAGCTTACCTCAAAGAGCTAGTTTTTACAGACAAGAAATGCATTTTGCATGCATAAATAATAACTGATAGGTTAAGGGAGTTCTATTGCTTTAGGCAAATCATTTATTTGCATTATATCTAGTGCATTAGTGATCCCAACAGAGCTCTAGAACTCCTCTTATTAGCAAAATGGGACTCTAATCATCAGACTAACATTTGAAATTAAAGAAAATAGTTGAGCAGCCTACATTCAAACTATTTATTTTCATATTCTCCAGTTATAAAAAGGGCTTGGAGCAAGAATAATCTATTACTATTAATCTTCAATCTATCTACTTACATCTTGGATAAATCAGATCATGCTATATCCACAAAATCCTTTTCCTGGCATACTATATAATATACTGCAATAATTCATTCACCTATGAAACTGTTCTCACTTTCTTTAAGATATTTTAGCCAGTTGATATTATATGAGTTTTCCCCAATTAACCATAGTCATTATGAATATTCTCCTTTTATCCACAGTTATTGCATGCCATATATTTGCTGTGATAGAGGGGAGAATATTCACAGAAACTTTCATTTGTCTCTTTTTTAAAAAAATATCTTTACTGTAAGAGTCAAAGTACTAATATAAGTTTGGACCTATTACATACTTATTTTTATAATAATAATGTTTTGGGGATTTATGGAAATAACCACAACTGGATAAACAAAATAACTGATCTTACTGTGGCTGGAGTGTACTTCAAAAACTCTTGTGTAGCTTAGTCACCATAATCCCCAATTTTGGGAAGTTAAAGCATATTTGGAGTCTGAAGAAATTAATTTCATTTCAAACCGAGGGAGTAATTTTCAGACTTGACATTTTATTCTCCATTTTGGTGACTCCAGTAAAAGGTACCATATTCCTTTATAAATATTTCAAAGGAATATTTGCAGTGCACTTGATGATGTGTGATCAGTCTCCACTCCAAGAATCTACCATATTAAGCAATCAAGTTGTGTCAGATAAGTGAACCTTCCTTGTTTTGCCATGAGACTGGAAGAAAGAACATGACTTTTCATTATAGATACTCAAGTCTTGTTTCTGGCCACAGAACCAAATGTCTCATTTTGGTATATATTCAGTAAAATTTAATATCAACAATTTGATCAATTAGCTAAAAGCAAAGATCTTTTTGTGTAAATATATCCTGAGTACTACCTTTTTCTTGCTGTTTACAAGGTAAGTGATCTTCTCAGATTCAGTAGTTAAGTATTGTTGCTTGGCTTCTATCACTCTAGAAGCCCTGCATCTCCACTGGCATTCGGGAGCCCACCTCAATGATGACATCTTCCACCATAATTTCTGAACAACCGTGCACAGTACTACAAAGCATGACAATGGTATTTGAAATATTCTGCTATAACACTCCTATTTATATTTTAAGACCTTAGTGTGCTAGTCAGCTTTTCATTGTTGTTATCATAATACCCAAGAAGAAAAAAATTAGAGGAGGAAAACTAATTTTAGTTCAAGTGTCAGAGTTTAATCCATGGTGCATCAACCCCATTGTTTGGAGCCCAAGTGAAGCAGAATGTTATTGTGGAAAAGCATCATGGAGGAATATATTTATCTTGCCCTTTGTCCTTGACAGTCGCAGCCCACATGGCCTATCTTAGCCTGTCTCTCTCTGATACCTGCACTTTTGCTCTCAGACTGTTCATGTTACTGGCTTCTCTTAATTCTCTGGGTCTTCATTCTAGCTTCAGCTTCATCTTCACAGCTTCATGAGTCATTCTCATAGGATTAGTCCACAAAGGACAGGCCCTTCTGTACTTTTCCAGACTTCTGAGGTCTTCCTTTGAAATCTTAGTAGAAGCTCCCATAACCCCTTAACTCCACAATACTTAATTCTTGCTGAACCAACACCATGTGTCTTATGCCAAGATCTTCTTCCAGTATGTACAGTAGCAAATTTCCCTGGAATCCTGACTCCAGTCACTTAAGAGTACCTGAGAAGGTAAACAGCATTAAAAAAAAAAATCCTGGAGAAACAGCTTTCTTGGCTCCCTGATTAGATAAGTGAACTACCAGGATCTATTAAATAAATTTTTATTTTTATACATTTGAACCTGGGATAGATATAATCCTGTAAATATCTGATTTACCCTGAAACCATTTTTACTATCATCCCTGTGCAAACTACTTAGCATCTTTTTAGTGACTATACATTCTCTAAGTGGCATAGCTTTCTTGGCCCCAATTTTATAAGCACTTTTCTGATTAAACTGCAACTTTTAAAAATCCTTCAGCTCTGCTTTCTCCTCCTGACTCCCACAGTAAACCTGACTACAAGTTACTAACAAAATCTGTAGTGCCTGAAGAATATGTAGTTTTGAAATTTACTCCACCACATTAATTAATCACATTTAAATTCAGCCTCATGCAAAGTCTCAGAACATGAGAAACATGTAGAAAGAATTTAAGATTAGTGGCCTCTAGTCCAATTCCCACTAAAAGCATTTTTCTCCTCTGAAATTTCATGAGTTCAGTCTTTACTGTCTGCTCTCTGGTCTTCTAAGCACCCATCAAAATTTCAACTTAAAAAATTCTTAAGTTTCTTCTGCTTGAATTCCTAGACTTCTCTAAACTTCTCCTATAAATCACTTTCAAAGGCTTTAGAACTACATGGTCAGGTTAGTCACTGCAATAACCCCACTTCTCAGTACCAATGTCTGTATTAATAACCTATTAATTGTGGAGAACAAAATACCTGGCTAGAACAAGCTAGAGGTTGAAATGTTTGTTTTCGGTTCATAGTTTTAGAGGAGTAATTGATTGTGGGCTAACTCCATTGTTTAGGACTCAAAGTGAGGCAGAACATTATGGTGGAAGAAGAAGAAGAAGAAGAAGAAGGAGAAGGAGAAGGAGAAGGAGAAGGAGAAGGAGAAGGAGAAGGAGAAGAAGAAGAAGAGAAGGACGAGGAGGAGGAGGAGGAGAAGGAGGAGAGAAGAAATGAGATGAGATTTTAAGAAAGATGAAACCTTTCTGAGTATGCCCCTAGTGAGTCACCTCCTCTAGCCATAACATACTTACCTACTGTAACCACCCAGTAAGTCCATTCAAATGTGTAAGGACTGATTAAGTTACAGGTCTCACAATTGAATTGTTTCACTTTTGAACATTCCTGAATCAACAAGGGAGCTTTTGAGTGACACCTGATATCTAAACAACAGCACCAAGTCAGTGGAGCATCTTCTGAGTTTTCTAGGTAAAAGCGAGATGGAAGAGAAGAACGTGTCCATTTGCAACTAATAAATCTGTTCTGCCATTCCTGTCTCACCAAGCCTTTGCATTCTTTCCTCTAAGCTATCATACTTAAGTTCTGGCATTTCACCTGTCTTGAATATAGATTACTAATGAATATAGATGGTTCCTGATTTATGATGATTCAACAATTTTTCATTATGATGGTATAAAAGATATATATATTCAGTAGAAAGTATACTTTAAATTTTGAATTGTGATCTTTTCCCTGCTTATTCATATATGGTATAATACTCTCTTATAATTCTGTCTCAGTGCCAGTAAACAGATTTCCAGTCAGCTACACAATCCCAGAGAGAAACAACAAAAATTCTACAGTGTACTGTGTTGCTAACCTATACATTAGATGTATTAAATACCTTGTCAACTTATAATATTTTAAATTTCTTTTTATACAATATATTTGTTTTACTTATTTTTATGTGGTGCTGAGGATTGACCCCAGTGCCTCACATTTACTAGGCAAGTGTCCTACCACTGAGCAACAACCCTAGCCCCAATATTTTTATCTTTTGATGGTTTATCAGGAAATGACCCCATAATAATTCAAGGGAATTATATACATTTCATTGAAGTGATCAGGAAAACTCAGTGCTATTTTTAAGTGAGCAGGAAAACCTTTTAAAGAAAAGATCCCATGTAGGAGCATTCATAACTAAATTTTAGATAAATTCAGCATTATATTTTATCATAATTTGTGTAGCTCTTTTTGGATTTTGTACCTGAATAGTTATATGATTTTTACACATATTAATTAGGAAAATCTTGAAATTATTGTGGAATATAAGCTACTTTTTCCTCGTTTTTATATTGTAAATACCCTTTGAGAGCATGTTGAAATTTTAGTCTGATAAGTCAGGAGCTTGCAAGGGGAAAGAATGAATTTTAAAGAAAGTGGATAACCCTTACAGGGAAAAATCCTCAGCTTTACTACTGGATCTGCAAACCAGATAGGGTTGGTTTTGTCAGATGGTTGCTTTCATGGGAGAACTAAGGATACTCAGTGTTTTAAGACTATCAGCTTAAAATGAACCCAGTCAGATGGACTTAGAAGCCTTCTGATTCTTTTTCAGTGTATTTGATCTCAACTAAGTTGTGTGGTCTTTGGGATTTTGTGGTTTATTTCAGCATAAACTCTTAATTGAAGTTAAAACAAGTATTCCATCTTATTGTCTTGGTCATTATTAAGAGCAAATTCAAGGAGAGTTACCCTTTGGTGACTGGAACTTCTTCAGAAGGCTATTCAAAAGGTAGATACAGTTAGCAATTTGGTTGATTGGGAAAGCCATCGTATACTAGATTACTATCATGCCAAATATTTCAATTCTGTGCTGGCGGCCAAGGGACTTAGCAATTTTACATCCCTGGGCCCAGCCCTTGATTTCCAGTAACATGTCTTCTGTTATTACCTCCATGTACCAATTCTATTCAATCAAAATTAAGTCAGCAAAACAGAAAGCATAACAGTTATTTAATGGAGAGTTTAATATATTTCTTGGGGAACAGAAAATACAAGAAGAGAACAACAAGTTAACAAAAAGACAGTAAAAGCTGGAAATGGTCATTACCAATAGGACTGGGGATTAATGGAGTGTTCTTTCTTTCCTTTTCTATGATCTCTCAGATTCCAATAAGTGCTTTTATAAAAGTGATGTAAGCAAACCTTCAATCTATATAATCTATCTTGAAGTGTTCTTTTACCTTTAAAAAACTAAAGGACTTTGAAATATTTTGTTTAGTCATAGGCAGTTATTTATTGAGGATATAAGAATCTGTAAGATGAGACATGTAAGTGATGAAATCAGAGGAGAGAGCCTGGTGCTCTTCTGTTCTGGGTTTGCAGTAATTCTACTTCTGGGTGTACGGGTGTACAGGAAGCAGCTAGAAACAGAAATCAGATGCTATTTGAATCACTTATGTTTGGGTTTAGATAAGAAGTGTCCCCCAGTAGCTCATGTATTAGACAATGCAAGAATTTTCAGAGGTGAAATGATTGGTTTATGAGAGACTTAACCTAATCAATGTGATTAACTCACTGATCCCTATTAACTGTGTGGTAACTATAGGCAGGTAGGGTATGACTGAAGGAGGTGGGTCACTGGGGGCAAGCGTTTAAGGTTTACATTTTGTCCTTGGCTAAAGAAATGCTCCTTTCCTTCCTGTTTGCATGTCCTGAGTTCCCTTCCTCTCTATACCATTTCACCCTGATGTTCTGCCTCACCTTGAGACCATAGAAATGAAGTCAACTATCTATGAACTGAGACCTCTGAAAATGTGAGCACCACATAAACTGTTTCTACTCTAACTGTTCCTGTCAGTTCTTTTATTCACAGTGACATAAAAAAATTAAAAAATTAAAAAAAAACTGACTAAAACAACCTGCCACTGCTAAGGTGAAGAACACTATAAAATAATGCTGACAAGAGCTGCAGACAAGGAAAGAGAATGTCCTTTCCCTGTCCCTGCCCTCCAATTCCATGCAGTATTTTCTTGGCAGAATCTAATGTGTACCAAGCCAGGAAAAAAAGAAATGTTTATTTTCAAGAAGCTCAGCCTGGTGACTCAGAGTGTGCAAGGGTAACTTTACATGAAGAAGAGAATAGTTTCATTAACTAACTGACCCTGCTTTTTTTCCTTGCTATTAGGTGAAGAACCCCTAATATATATATATATATATATTTATATATCTTTGCAGCCACTCAATTCATTACAAATTCAATGCGGTTACTTTTTAGTTGCTCACCTAATGTTTTTGTGTGACCGAAAGAAGAACATTAAGAAGACAATGAAGGTGAGAATTTGAAGCCCTGTCTGTTCTGGAGCATTTGGTGCAAATGTGAGTCTTGCTGCATTTATTTCTGTGGTTAGATCAGTCACTTTGCTAAGCTTTTTATTTCTATAATCTGAATGAACTACTAAGTCATTAGGTAAGGTGTTCACCATTATTGTCATTAAAAGAAGGGCAGAAATCAAGCTGACAAATGTTTTAACAACAACATTTCTAGGTTTCTCCAGTGAGCCAGAAGTATCAAAATCTGAAACTCAAAACTAGAGTTTCTCCTCTGGCAAATGAATTT